CCTGCTCTTACCAGTCGCCCCAGGGCGACTTTGAGCCGGCGACTCCCAGGGCTCAGCACTGTACTCTGCCCTCACCTCCTGCTGCCCCAAGCCTGACCTCCCTGGGCTCTTTGGGCTGGCATCTCCAAGGACCTGGGTCCCCCGGTGCCTGCTCTCATCAGTTGCCTCAGGGTGACTTTGGGCAGGTGACTCCTGGTGCTCCCGCTCCGTACTCAGCCCTCACCTCCTGCCACCCTAAGTCTGAGCTCTGTGGGCTGTTTGGGCTTGTGTCTCCAAGGACCTGGGTTCCGGCCCTGTGCCCTCAACCCATCTCAAAGTGGCAACTCGGGCATCACACTGGTGTGTCCCCCCTACCCCCCGGAGAAGTGAAATGTAGTTACGTCACAGTCCCCCAGGAACTGTCATTACTGCCACTAGACTGGCCTGATCTCAGGACCCAGTCCCCTAACTGTTCTTGCCCTGTTTTTGGTTCCTCTGGTGGCAGCAGAGATTTTCAGCTGGAAGAGAAAAGGGGACCGTGGGACCCAGGAGTGAGAGGTTTCAGGCTGCCTTACTCCTTTAACACAGACGTTGACAGTGTGAACAGCCTACACCTCCCCTGTGAGCTCAAAACGTTGACAGTGTCTCTTCTGAGTGGTGATGGGTTTGGTTTGGTTTTCTCCCAGGCTTCTATTCTCCAGAGAGACTTAAACATTTTTTCTGTGTTCTCCACCTCATATTTGAATTCTCCATGGTTCTGGGGCCAGAGTGCCCTTCAGTCAGTGGTTTCTGGAGCGAGATCTGCTTCCCTTCTGTGGAACAGATCTTGGGAATCTGAACTTGACAGCTTGAATCTTCCTCATCTCATCTCAACCTGGGGTACCTTGAGTGCCACAGGGTAAATATGGGGCATCTTTCTGAAGCATTAGCAGCCCTTCATTCTCTTGAGAGACACAAAACATTATGGACTTAGGGATGAGAGTCACATAGATTTCTAAGGGTATCCCAGACTTTGCTTTGAAATGAGGCTTGGGTTGTCGTCTTCTGTTAAATTCTCAGATTTAACAGAAAGGCTGCCTTCTGCCATGAGAATACAGTGATGTAAAAGTTGGAGAGGAACCGGTGCCCTTCTTAACACTAACAGACGTGTGAGGAAGTATGACTCTAAACCACACAGTGTACCGTTCCTGCCTACTTCGTATTGATTTTTCTACCTCTGCCTCTGGTTTTGGTCCTTGGCAGCTGCTGATTTGTGGCAAAATCCCAGAGGTCGGAGTCAGAAGACTGAGTTTAAGCTCCATTACTGCCTTGGTTTTAGCCATGGCATCAGTCCCTCTCAGTCACTGATTGAGACAACACCCCGTACAGTTGTTGGTGGCATGGAATCAGATGCTCTATAAGAGTATTTTGTAAAACCTGTGAAGTAGGGGCTGGGCATGGTGGCTCATACCTGTAATCCCAGCACTTTGGGAGAATATCATCATCACAACCGCCCTGGTATTGGGACAGGAGTAACTGACACCAATAGGCAAATAAATAACGGCAGTGACCCTGAGACAAGAACTTCTGCTGGCTGCCACTCACCTGAGGATGTGAGTCTTGGCTGGCCAGGCTTCTGGAGACAGAGGGCCCAAGGGACAGTAGAGGGTAACTGTTAAGAGGGTAACTGTTGGCCGGGCGCGGTGGCTCAAGCCTGTAATCCCAGCACTTTGGGAGGCCGAGGTGGGTGGATCACAAGGTCAAGAGATCGCGACCATCCTGGTCAACATGGTGAAACCCTGTCTCTACTAAAGATACAAAAAATTAGCTGGGCATGGTGGCGCATGCCTGTAATCCCAGCTACTCGGGAGGCTGAGGCAGGAGAATTGCCTGAACCCAGGAGGCGGAGGTTGCGGTGAGCTGAGATCGCGCCATTGCACTCCAGCCTGGGTAACAAGAGTGAAACTCCGTCTCAAAAAAAAAAAAAAAAAAAAAAAAAGAGAGTAACTGTTAAGAGGGTAAGTGCTAAATAGAGGGTAACTGTTAAAGACGGTAACTTAAGTAGAGGGTAACTGTCAAGTAGAGGGTAACTGTTAAGAGGGTAACTGTTAAGAGGGTAACTGTTAAGTAGAGGGTAACTGCTGGGTTCTGGTTTAGAATCCTGGGTTTAAAGCCTATTGCTAGATCTGCTAGGGAAATGATTTAGGGCAAATTGCTTGAGCTCTTTGGGCCTCTCTCTTTTCATGTCTGTAAAATAGGGGTGGTATTGTTTTACTTACATTTGTGAAGTTTCAATGAGATTTGTTCTTGTTTTTATGTTAATCCCTAGTACAGGGCCTGCTGTGAACACCTCTCCTCCTTGGGCTTGTGTTTCCTGAGGAGGTGGAGTTAGAGAGTATCACAGGTTTCTGTTAGCTCTGAGAGTCCAAGATTTCAAGGCCAATGAGGGTGGACACCTTGGGGCCAAGGACTCCTGTCTGTCTTTTCCGTCCCATATCCCCACTGTGAAGAACTGTAGGTGGCCTGTATGTGCTCAGTGTTTGTTGAATGAATGCACCTTTGTAAATGACAAGCTGGCAGAAGGGTGGGCTTTTCTCACACTCCATCTCTGAAGATTGATGTGACTGTCCTTTGGAGAGAATCTAGTTTCAGACTTTCAGTTCTCTGGCTCTGGGTGAAAAACGACAAAGACCCAAATCCTCTTTCTTTGGGAGCTTGAGGAGAGTTTACTAGTTTATGTTCCCATTGGGTCTGAGAACTTTGACTCTAAACTCCACTCCCGGCCCCTGCCTACTACTTCCTGGCCTGGGGAATAGAGTCGAGTGGGCCACCTTCAGTCACCTTCCTTTGACTCTCCCCATAGAAACAACAGAACCGAGCTCAGCTGGATAAAGTAATGTGATTTCATCTTTTGCCCTTGACATGACTGCTGGGTCTGGGATAGCACTGAGATACAGAGGTCCCAGCCTTGTCTCGCCCACTCCGATCCTGGGGAAGAAGGCTCACCACCCAGATTCCACCCCATCCCACAGGGTCCCTGATAACCTGGTCCCATGGGTGGTCCTGTCTTAGGGCATTGGTGGCATTCTGGGGGCATGTCTCGCTGTGCCATCTCTGCCACCCTCCAGTAAGAGCTCTGTCTTCCTCTTTCTCTAGGAAAACAAGCCAAGCCACCACCATCAGGCAGCGCTCAGGAGGCAGGTAGAGGAGAGTGGAAGCTGTGGAGTTCCCTCCTGTCCTCTGGAGACGGTTTCTTTGCTAACCCAAGAGAAAGGAACAGTGTGAGTGGGAGATATTTCCCTCTTATACCTTGAATTTTGGACTATGTGAACCTATCGTCCTTTCAAAAAGTCAACAAAAGATTAATATCCTCCTTCTTATCTGTGCCCCCACACCCAGGAAAGAATGGGCTTAGAGAATCAGCGATACCCTGGGGGTTGAAATCCCAGCTCTGTCTCAGTGATCTTAGGCAAGCACTTAACCTTTAATACCCCATGTTTTTCATCTGCATGATAGTGGTAATAATAGTAACTGTCTCCTGGTGTTGGTGAGGATTAAATGGGATTGTTAGCATAGTGCCTGGTAAAGCACTCAGTGAAGATTCCAACAGTGGTAGTATTAACAGTCATAACAATAGCAATATTATCTGATCTCTCTGGGCTCCTTAGCCAGCTATAAATTCAATCTCTTTCCTTGTCCCTATCACCCTTACTGAGTTCTTTGAAAAACAAATGAGGGCCAGGCTCATTGGCTCACACCTGTAATCCCAGCACTTTGGGAGACCGAGGTGGGCAGATCGCCTGAGGTTGGGAGTTCGAGGCCAGCCTGAACAACATGGAAAAACCCTGTCTATCCTAAAAATACAAAATTAGCCAGGTGTGATGGTGCATGGCAGGAGGCCGAGGCAGGAGAATCACTTGAACCTGGGTGGTGGAGGTTGTGGTGAACTGTGATCACGCCATTGCCCTCCAGCCTGGGCAACAAGAGTGAAACTCCATCTCAAAAAAGAAAAGAAAAACAAAGGAGACCATGGGCATGCCTTGGGAACGTGCCAGGTGTGACTGAGAGCAAGGAGGTGTTGCTGTGGAGTAGTCACTGCAGCCGTTGTTCCTGTTGGCCGGCGGCTGCTCTGTCTGCTGCATCCTGACTTAACCTTTCCTTATTTGCAGCGCAATGAGGCGTTGACAAAGGAGACAGATGACCTGAGTCTAGCTAGAACTGTGCAGGAACACGTAGGACGGGGGATGGTGGGATAGGGAGGTCTGGGGGCCCTTAGCATGGGTGAAGTGCTGGGAGGTGGGGGGTACAGGTGAGCATGGTGAGGGGGTCATAGAGGTTTGCATGTGTGCCCAGCAAGGCTCTAGTGCCGGCTGTGCCACTGACTCATGGGGTAGCCTCGGGCAACTCATGTCTTCTCTCTGGCCTGCCACCTGTGACTTTTAATTCCTGGGGTCCCTTCCAATGCCAAGGTTCTGTGGTGGTTGTGGGGTGAGGGTAAAGGGTTGATCAGCAAAGTGGTCCTTTCTGTTCTTCGTTCATGCCTTTCTCTAATGCCTCTGGCCATAGTATAATCATTGAGGAGCTGCAGAGGAAGAACACCGAGCTGGAAGAAAAACTTAGAGTCCTACAGTCCAAAAAGTCCAGCAGCCAGCTCAGTGTGCAGGAGCTACAAAGAAAGCTGGCTAGGGCCAAGCGCCTGCTGTCACAGGTGAGAGGCTGCAGCCCCAGGGGTTGCGGGAGCCCCATCCATCTGGGGCCATGGTCTGGGGATCATGCCGGGTATGGGGAGGCTCGAGCTCAGAGCTGGAAAATTTGGGTCCTGGTGCTGGTCCCGCCATGGAATCCTCTAGAGTGTGCTAAAAATCTACAAATTGTGGCCCTGCCTGGGGAATCAGAATCTCAGGGTTAGGACTTAGAAAAAAAAGTTTTTTAAGCTTCATGGATGAAAACCATTCTTTTATAGATGACATTTCTATGGCTAGCTCATGAGTCGATTTCCTTCTGAGGTTTAAACCAACACTTTATATTTATTTCAGCAGCAGCTACAGGAGGAGGCCACACACCTGAGGCAGGATGTGGAGAGAGTAGCAGGAGAACTCCAAAGCCAGCTGGATAAAAATAAATGCTGGAGGTGCTTGTACCAGGAGCAGCAGTACAAGATTCTGGAGCAGCAGCAGAAGATCTGGGAACAGAAGCACAAAATCTGTAAGCAGTGGCACAAGATGCAGGAACAGGTGCACAAGATGCTGGAGCAGCAGGAGGAAGATCCGGGAACAGGAGCAGAAAATCCGTGAGCAGGTGCACAAGATGCTGGAGCAGCAGGAGCATAAGACACTGGAGCAGCAGGAGAAGATCCGGGAAGAGGAGCACAAAATCCGTGAGCAGTGGCACAAGATGCAGGAACAGGTGCACAAGATGCTGGAGCAGCAGGAGAAGATCTGGGAGCAGGAGGTGAGGCTACGGGGAGCTGAAGGAGACGCTATGGGAACTGCGGTGGAAGGCCGAGCTCTAGGCAGCAGGCACAGGCATGTGCAAACCCCGGAGACCATGCAGGTCGACCTCATCACGACTTGGCAGGTGGTGGCTGGCTCTGCTTTTCCACCAGTCTGTGGCCTACAGTTTAAATGGTGGGAAGAAGGGTGTGAGATTTGAGCCTGGGAAGGGACGGTGCTCTAGGCAAGGGAGGGAGTCACTTGGTCCTGGAGCAAGGGGCTAGAGGCTTGTGCAGGTGACAGAGCCCCACAGTGTTCTGGCTACGTTATGGGCCCAGAATCTGGAAGCTAGCCATTGCCTGCCCTGATGCCTATCCTGCTGGTGGAGCTGAAGAGGCTCAGAGTCTACATCAGCAGAAGCCAGACTAGTTCCTGCGTCTCCTGCAGCAGTTCGTGGCCACCTCTCAGCAGCTGACCTTTGACAAGGAGGTGCTGCACAGCCAGTTACTGCTGCAGGTGCAGCTTGTGGACCAGCTGCAGCAGCAGGAACTCCAGCAGTTGCAGGAGACCTAAATGAGGGAGTTGCTGAAGGCAGGGCCCAGAGGGGGGCAGCCTGGCAATCTCCTGCCTTCTCACTCTCTTTCCTGGCCCCTTAGGAGCACGCGGAAGCTGCCATCCAGAACCAGCACCTACAGGCCCAGTTTGGCCTCATGGCTCTCCCTCTGGAAGGTAGGGGAAGACCACTCAGAGGAAGAGGAGAGAGCCCCCATGAAGAACGGGGGACTGTTGGCAGCGTAGGAATGAGGAGTCGGAAGAGACCTTTAGAACAGCTGATCATTATGCTGACTGGGTGTCCACACTAAGTTCAGCATCAATATAGTGACTCCTGGGAGTGGGGGAGCACCAGGGTTGCCTATGGATGGGTGAACTGGCTCAGGTCAGAACTCCCCGTGCTGATTGGTAGTAGCGGGATTCCAGCTGGGTAACATAGTGAGTCTTGGCTCTTCAAAAAAATACAAAGAACGGCTGCTCTTTTCCCTCTGGGGAGGGGCTGGCCCAGGGTTACAGAGCGAGGGTGGGGGCAGAGGTGGGCCCACTGTTACCTTCCTTGTTGGGTTGCTGAGGGCCCCTCTGACCACCCCACATAGGAGATGGATGGGAACACAGAGGAGGAGGAGGAGGTGCTTCGGCCCATGAGCAGCGTCCTGGAAGACCTGGAGAGCCGAGAGGCCGTGGTGAGTCTGACTCCCCCTTCCCATATTTACTGCATCCCACAGTGGTCCCTCCCAGACACCCTTATGCTCTTGGTTTCCTGCCTTCTGATTTCTGCAGGTGGGGGTGGGCACCGGCGTGGCAGCTGAGCACCCTTCCCTCCAGGCGGAGCTGGTGTTGCAGCTTGCCAGCAACCAAGACCAGGGACATGAGGGATTGCTGGCAGCTGCCCAGAACCCTAATGATGAGCCCATTCCACGGGCCCCAGAGCCCCAGGAGCTTGGGGCTGCTGGCAGGCAGAGTGGTGAGTAGACACCTCAGGCAGGGTCGGCAGGCAGAAGCAGGGCAGGGCTGTCAAGGCACTCAGAGCCCTGCCTCCCTCCAAAGATTTCGAAGAGCCTGTGAAAGGAGACGCCAGGGAGGGTTCTGCCCGAGACAACCCACCTGACGTGCTGTGCCAAGTAGGATCCAGAACCCTCAGGAGCAAGCAGGCTTAGGCAGCAACCCCTGCCTGCCATTCTTCTACAGAGCCAGGAAGATCAAGATAATTAACATCTGAAAGCCGGCACTGTCACCAAGGCCTAGAGATTTATAAGCCACCATGGGACTGTAAATATGCTCCCAGCACCAACCTGAAAAGAAAAAAAATTATTTAAGTTGTAAAATACTGGCTGGGTGTGGTGGCTCATGCCTGTAATCCCAGCACTTTGGGAGGCTGAGGTAGGGGGATCACTGAGGCAGGAGAATTGCTTGAACCCTGAAGGCTGAGGATGAAATGAGCTGGGATTGCGCCACTGCACTTCAGCCTAGGCAACAAAGATTGTCTCAAAAAAAAAAAAAAAAAAAAGGTAAAATACAGTTAAAATTTACTATGTTAATAAAAGTTATTTTAAAGTTTCTACCTGAGGACTCATATCTATGTATGTTTTCATTGTCTTCTTTATCTCTCGGTCTTTCTCCTTTAGTCTGGTCCGATGGCATGCCTAGTAAACTTGTGTCTGCCTCCAGAGAGTGTTGACTTTGACCTTATGGCACACAGTCGAAGTAAGGGCAGATCACCGTCATCTAGTTTGGGACTAAGCTGGTTCAAAGCAGGTTTTAGGTTTTGTGACAGCTGGTCTCTTTATTTGGACTCCTAGGGGTGGCCGGCCCTTCCAGGGTCCCCACCTAAGTCTCATCTCTTTACTGGGGCCCAAATTCCCATGATGTCATTTCAGCCCTGTGACAGTGCCAAACATTCAGCTCAGCTTTCCAGCCTCTTAATTATCCCTTCATAGTCAGTTTCTTAGCTTCTTAGCCCTATACTGTTTACCAATCACGAAATGTGGGGAAAACCCCTACAGACTGTTGGGGTCACCTTCTGGGCCTGGCCACTCAAGTCCTGGCCGAGGTCTCCAGTTACCTTCCAACAATTGTTTTTGGGTAGGGGGTTGTGGGGGCGGCACAGTTTTGTTCAGTTTTTCTAACTGTTCTTGTGGGGAGGCTGATCTATAACCAGCTACTCTGCCTTTAATGAATGTTGAAAACCTTCATGTGTCTTTTGTTTTTGAGATGGAGCCTCGGCCCAGGCTCAAGTGCAGTGTTGTGATCTCAGCTCACTGTAACCTCTGCCTCCTGGAGTTCAAGCAGTTCTGCCTCAGCCTCCCAAGTAGCTGGGATTACAGGCGTGTGCCACCATGCCTGGCTAATTTTTGCATTTTCAATAGAGATGGGATTTCGCCATGTTGGCCAGGCTGGTCTGGAGCTTCTCAGGTGATCTACTTGCCTCAGCCTCCTAAAGGGCTGGGATTACAGGTGTGCCCCACTGCATGTGGCCCCTCTGTCTTTTAAAAAATGTTTTTAAGATAAAATTTATATTCAGTGAAATGCCTCCATCTGAAGTGTACATTTTGATCAGTTTTGAGAAATGCATTAATCATATAGCCCACCTCCTTTCAAGATATAGAATATTTCTCTCATCCAGAAAGTTCTCCTGGGCTTCAATCCTGTCCTGCACTCCTGCAGCAGCTGCTGAACGTGCTGAGGACACTGACACAGGACTCTGGCCTCCCCAGGAGAGCTGCTTTCACAAGCCTGCTTCCTTCCCCAGCGCTAAATTCCATTTCTGCCTGCTGTCTCAAAATGTCCATCTCTCAGCTGGTTGTGCCTATAATCCTCCTTCATCAATTCAGTAGATAACCCCTGAAAAACAAACACTCCTTCCTGGCCCAGCAGCCCGCAGCCTGATACTCACTGTATACCCAAGCTTTCAGAAATACAACTCAACTCGCAGGGGTGAGGCCTGGCGGCTGCATCCCCTCCTCCTCCTGATGGCTTCCACCAGCCCGTAGGGCCCACAGACCAGATCCGGCCAGGCAGCCTGAGCCTGGAGGTGCGGCGGAGTCTCCTGCTCCTTCACCCTCACTAGGGTGGCAGCTGCATGGCGGCAGCTGGGCTCCCTCCTTAAGCCAGAAGCCCTTGGCGAGACACTGTTTCGGTTTCTGACCGAAGTACCAAGCTTGGATTTTTCTTTTTAAAGAGGCAGGTTCGTGGGAAGGAAAAACACCAGCCAGGATAGAGATAAAAATGAAAGAATTTATTTACAGAATGGAGGTACAGGATAAAAATGGAAATGAGAAAGTTATTTACAAGGTACCATACCCAGAAGATCCCCTTCTGCACATCAACACCGGCAAACAGCAGCACGGGTTATCGCAAGACAGTCGCAGCGCTTCCTTTCTTCACACTAACACCGGCAAACAGCAACACGGGTTAATGTAAGACAGTAGTTCCCTCTTCTCACACCAACACCGGCAAATAGCAGCACGGGTTAATGTAAGACAGTTGCAGCGCTTCCTTCTTCTCACTAACAGCTTTTTTTTTGGGCTGCTTTTATACATTAGGGTTTATACAAGGACAAATACAGACCTCCTCTTGGAATTATACCTTCATTATGCAACCCCATCCTTGAAATTGTTTACCAAAATTGCAGGCACAGAAATTGGCCAGATTTCCGTGCCTTATTAAAAATATGTCTGGGAACTTCTGAGCTCGGAATGCTCCCAGAGACTGTTTAAGGAAATGAAGATAGACTATTTTTTTCAAGTGGAGTTCTGGTCATAGCTCATGTCCTTAAATGGCCCTACATTCGGCCCTTAGATATGGCCAGAACGAGTATAAGCAAAATGAGCATTTTTGCATGGACAGATAGGTTGTTTGCACTTGTCTGTATAGATACAAATTGCAACAGCAACTACAAAGACTTAAACACATTCCAATAAGTAATAATCCAAATAACGGTAAAAATCGATATAAGGTGTTAGGGCGGCATCCCGCCTGGTATTTTTTAATTTGTAAGCTAAAGTATCTAATCAAAGCTATTAGCAAGCCCGATTCCAGTTCCTACTCCTCCTAAGAGAGTATCATACCAAGCGCGTCTCCTACGGTGCATGGAGTTAACAAAGGAAAGCTAATGTTAAAAAATAGGTGAGCTAATAATGTGGTGTTAATACAGGTATGTGGAATGTGTATCAATGTAGGGTGTGTAATGTTAAAAGTCTTGCCAATAATTACATGCATATAATCTGCCCAGTCAGTACGTCCGGTTATCTCACTATTGTTATGACATAATATATGAATAGTAGAATTGATTATAAAGCTAGAGTTTGTTGAATTACATACTGTTAAAAAGGATCTTAGTTGTTTTCTATATTGAGAACTTGACATTAAATTAGTTAAATCTCTTATACAACAGGTTATGTTAACTTTAGTAGTAATGTTAATAATTACCGGTCCATCACTGTGTAAGACACGTCTGATGGGAAATTGTCCTTTCCATGTTGTGAGATTAGTTTCTTCTATAGTGAAATTAATCATGAGACATTGTTTATGAGCATAGCATGTGTAATTATCTTGAGTCCGATTAAATGTGGAGTTCATCCATCCCCATCTCAGAAGTATGGAGTCTGCTTTGGTAGTGTTAAATTCTTGTAGAACACTTCCAGGGGTATATGCAATGGCTGTGAAGAATCCCAGGAATGCTATGAGCAGTATACCTGTAATATATTATGGTCGAAAATATAAATGATTAGATGGCACCAAGATAGGAGTATCAGCAGGAGGAATAAGGACGTACAAGCAATTATCCTTTTCTTTTGCGACTATTTCTCCAGACTGGAGGGGTTTATCTGGGGTTACTTGTACCCATACTCGTCCATCAGTGCTGTCAAATCTAAGATGTTCAGAAATAGGAGGATATTTCTGAGCCTCCCAATTTTGAGTTTGCAATATAGGAATAAATAATATTTGAGCAATACGATGTCCTTTTGGGATTATGAGATCTTCCTCAGAAACATTATAACACAGTATTTTAATTTCTCCATAATAATCAGCATCAATAACTCCTCCTAAAATCATCATTCCTTTTATAGCTAAGCTACATCGTGCAGTAATTTGGCCATAATACCCCGGGGGAATTTTTAAACCAATACCCGTAGGTATAACATGCTGAGCATGTGCAGGAATTTTAGTAGTAACATAAGTAAATAAATCGTAACCACCTGCAGCATTAGTAGCATTCCAAGGTTGTATGGCATCCGGGTGGAATTTCCACCAGATAATGGTTAAATCAGTAGCATTAACAGATTGTGATCTAACTTCTGCAGTGGATGAAATGTTCATCATTCGTTGGATGGGTGTTTGCCTGTCTGTTAGCGGACGGTTATTTAATTGCATTAAAGCTGTTAATAAAAAATCTTTCCAAGCATGGTAAGAGTTGTTTCCTAACTTTCGTAGTTTTTCTTTTAACATCCCATTCATTCGTTCTATAAGGCCTGCAGCTTGGGGATAATAAGGGATGTGATAAATCCATTCTATGTTATGTTGAGTACAGTAATTAGTTATTAACTTACCTTTAAAATGGGATCCATTGTCACTCTGAATTTGTAAGGGAGTTCCATAATATAATAATATATAGTCTGAAGTTTTTAAAGTATTTATTTGGGTAGCCCGTTTATAAGGACATCCAATTAGAAGTCCAGAATATGTATCTACAATAGTACAAATATAAAAACATCCCTTTGACATTGGTAAGGGATCTATATAGTCAATTTGCCAAATTTGAGCAGACTGTTCTCCTCGAGCTAATTTCCCAGTTACTATTCGAGGCACTTGTTGAAGGCTATCTTGGTTACATACAGGGCATTGATGGGCAATAGTTTTACAAGCATCAAGAGGAAGATATATCCCTCTTTGAGATGCCCACCTGTACATGGACCCGCATGTTCGTGTATCCATTGTGCACATTTCAAATGATCTTCTTCTGTACTCGCGGGATGTGCATTAGCATGAATTTTGGTTAGCTCATCCGCCTTTTTATTATGTATTTTCTCAACGGAGTCCAAAGAAGTGTGAGCATCTACATGAAAAACAGAAACATTAGTACATTGCAATGCAATCCATATGTTTTGCCAAATTTCTGCTCCCCATATCTGCAATGCGAACCATCCAATCTAATAAAGGCTCATTAGGTTTTTGAGAAAATTTGTACAATATATTCTGAATTTTCTGCTGAGTAAAGTCTTCTTGTATTAAATAAGTCTCCGTCCGCCCATCTGCTGTTGTTTTTTGGTGCCTTCTAGATAATGGTTTTGCTTGTACTGACAGGGGCGGTGGATGATATTTCCGTGTCTTCTCATCTAACTGTTTTTAATTTACATTATTATTAGTCTTATTTTATATGTCACCATCCCAAGTATCAGGGTCCCAATCCGCTTTAGCAGTGGCAACAACTGCATGAACCTTCTGGGTGTTTACCTTTTTTCGTCTCTTACGATACTTGTACTGAGCACAGCGCACAGCTGCTTTCTCAGCCACTCCCTGATAAGTCCTCACTTGATCCCCCAATATAAAATTTTGGCACTGTAACATAGATAGTTTACTTTGCAAATCCGTTAATTCCTTTTCTAACTGCAGTTTTTTCTGTATTACTTTTTGTCTATCAAGATATTGTCTCCTGTAAGCAGACAATAAAATCCATCCCCTGCGACTAATAGCCGTTAACTCTTTCCCTTTCTCTACCAGGACCAACTCCAAGGTTTCACATACTTGCATAGGGTCGGCTGCCCGCAGCCGCCCATCCCAATTTTCACTTAACCCGGTCCCACATGCCCAAAGGCGAGCTACTGCCGAAAAAATTGGATCATCCCATCCTGGTCTATCACAAGTCACTTGCTTAACGTCACGCTTAAACAAAGGCATGTTGCTTATCCCTCTCCCCGAATCCTGTTGACTACGCCAATTTGTTTCGGTTTCTCACCGAAGTACCAAGCTTGGATTTTTTTTTTTTTTAAAGAGGCAGGTTCGTGGGAAGGAAAAACACCAGCCAGGATAGAGATAAAAATGAAAGAATTTATTTACAGAATGGAGGTACAGGATAAAAATGGAAATGAGAAAGTTATTTACAAGGTACCATACCCAGAAGAGCCCCTTCTGCACATCAACACCGGCAAACAGCAGCACGGGTTATCGCAAGACAGTCGAGCGCTTCCTTTCTTCACACTAACACCGGCAAACAGCAGCACGGGTTAATGTAAGACAGTAGTTCCCTCATCTCACACCAACACCAGCGAAAAGCAGCACGGGTTAATGTAAGACAGTTGCAGCGCTTCCTTCTTCTCACTAACAGCTTTTTTTTGGCTGCTTTTATACATTAGGGTTTATACAAGGACAAATACAGACCTCCTCTTGGAATTATACCTTCATTATGCAACCCCATCCTTGAAATTGTTTACCAAAATTGCAGGCACAGAAATTGGCCAGATTTCCGTGCCTTATTAAAAATATGTCTGGGAACTTCTGAGCTCGGAATGCTCCCAGAGACTGTTTAAAGAAATGAAGATAAACTATTTTTTTCAAGTGGAGTTCTGGTCATAGCTCATGTCCTTAAATGCTCCTACAGACACTGACACTCAGACCCCGGCCTGAGTGAGCCTGGCTGAAGGCCACCTTCCTTCCTGTCTGACTATGGAGGGAGGGAGCTGAGTGTACACAGCTCTAGTGCCCACCCCAAACGTCAGCTGTGCTTCCTCCCGGGAGAGGGAGCTGCTCATTAATTTGACCAAAGCCTTCCTGAGGGCTGTAGTTTGACAGGCTGGGTGTGTATGGGCCCACTGTGCTACAGAGAGGCTGGTGTGTCAGAAGGCAGCCACCTGGCCAGAGCAGGGTCAGCCTCCTTGGTGACCGCCTTCTCCCTTCTGAACACAGATCTTGCACTCTCCCCATAGCAATGCTCCCCTCAGAACTGTGTCCGGGGGTGGGATTCTAACCCTGTGGGTGGGGACATTGTGTTAGTTGACAATGGGCCATGGTTCGCTCTGACAACTCAGAGTCAGTAGAGAGAAGAGAAATTCCCTGCACCTCCGCCCTCAGCACCCCCACCTGTGCACACACCCACATATGGAGACCCTGATATTGGTCCTTGGGAGTGCTGCCATCTGTGAGTCCGTTTCATGCCTGCAGCAGCCACGCCCACCGTCCAGACCCTCACCTACCTGTCTCAGTAGGCGCTGCGCTGCCTCTGGTCCTGCCCCTACACCTGGGCCTCTGTATCCATCGGTTCCCCCAGTCTTTTTCCCCCGACAAGTTGGGAGCCTGTAAGGTCACGTGTTGAGCAAGCTGGAGGACAGCATAAGGTGGGGCTGTGAGGATGAGGAGGAGAAGCTGATGGTCGTGCTGCTGACTCAGCTGAGCGGAGTCTGTGCAGGCCCATTGGCTGCCCACCTAGCGGCCATCCCGCTCCCACCCTCATTTCTTCTTTGTTAATAAAACCATGACTTCATTAAATATTGGACACCTACAAGCTTCATGGACTGTCCTGCCGTCTCCCTGCCATGTATCGGTAAGTCTAAGTCAACTCTGGTCATTTCATTCCTCTGGACAATGATTGCTTAGGGCTTGGGCATGAGCTGCCTCTTCGCCTGTCAGCCACAGCTGCCCTCTGCACCTACCACGCTGATGCGCTGGGCCAGGGAGAGCTCCATCTCGATGGAGCCGAGCTGTGAGGAGCTGGTGGCTGGGAAGGTCAGGTGGTGGTAACAGGTTTTGTTCAGAAGGTTGTCCATCAGTTTCTTGGCTTTGGCGCACGTGTCGGTCCCCTGGAAAAACAGACCTGTTTCTATTTTTCCAGGGGACTGCCTGTAAGGTCACCTGTAGGCTCTTTATAGCTGTCACCTGCAATTGTCCCCACTGCAGCTGACAGCTACGAAGGGAGAGCCCAGAGGGCCAGGTAGCACAGGTGCCCTGAGGGCTGGCTGGAGCAGTGAAGGTACTGGCAGGCCTGGCTCTCCCTGGGGACTTCAAATGACATTTAAGACACAGCTCACCTCTATCCTCCCATGCCATAGCTCTTTCTCCTTCTCTTCCCTTGAACAATGAATGGCATGCCACGCTCCAAACATCTCGTATAAAACTGAGTGTCTCGTCCTGACCCCTTCCTTGGTTCATCTGAGTCCTCTCTGTCCTCCCATCTCCACCGCTACACCTATGTCCCTACCTCCCCAGCCCTGCCCACCTTCTGGTCTCTCCATCCATACTCTGCCCCTGCCATCCATGTACCATACAGTGGCAGGCTGGTCTTTTAGCAAACTGGTTTAGGGCCCTTCACTACCCACAGTTCTGGGAGCTGGAGGTGGAGTTAAGCCTCACATGTGTTGGCTTGGCATTCAGAGCTCTTTCCCCCGGGCATTGGCTCATCCAGAGCGCTCACAGTACAGGGTAGGGCAGGGCAGGAGCCCCCATCCTCAAATGTGGGTTTGGTACAGAACTGGGTATGTGACGGTGATTTCCCTAAGAAGAAACAGGGCTGAGATGGGGGGATTTTCTGGGTTCAGAGTGAGACCGCCAGAGTGCAAGCTTCCTTTGAGACACCAAATGGAGGGGTCCCGCTGGCAGCTGGCTCCTGGTCTGGAGCTTTGGGGACAGGTCTCAGCTCAGAGCCACACTCAAGAGCCAGCTTAAATGCAGCCTCCTGCAGGGAACCCCCAGAGCTTCCACGGCCTCGGATCTGCCCCTCTGCATACTCCAGATCTTTTGCCAAGTGGCGTTTGGGTCTTCACGTCATCTCCCTCCTGTGCCTGGGAGTAAGGTGAGGTGCAGGGACTTAAGCTTGTGTTCTCTGGTGCCTTCGGGGGAATCTGTCAAGTAGAGAGGAGTGGGCTTGGAAAGAGGGAGACTCAGAGGAGAGTCGAGGACATGTGAGCAGAGAGCCTGGGAGCAGAAAAAGAGATGAGCGTGAGCGGGGGCACGTGCTGGGGCAGGGGAACAGGTGGGAGGATTGGGGAATGAGGGGGCAGGAGAGTGGGGCTGCTGTCAAGGGGCTGCCTGGCTGTCCAGGCTCAGGAGTCGGTCACATCCTCCCGCAAGGGCCAGCTCACCCGGTTGCCCCAAAGCCTTCTTTCTGTGGCTGTGACCAGAGGGCAGATGACCCAATTGAGCAGGCCTGAGGTGGATTCGGGTGGGTGCTGGGCTGGACTCCTGGCCATGGGGAGCAGCCACCACCCTGCCTACTGTACCCACTTTCCGGCTGGCTGCCTCTCTGCGAAGAGGCAATTTTGGGTGCCTGGTCACGCATGCTCCTAGTGCACCTGCTGCCTGCTGTGCCTCCCCAACTGCCCTGGGCTCTCCAGAGGGGGGGTTCCTGTGGAGGCTGGGCCTCGGTTTTGAGCCCTGCCTCTCACACCTGGGGCCCCTCACAGAGGCCAGCTGCTTGAGTACCCCGGAAGCCAGTCTATCCCCAGGGTACAGCTGGGTCCCTTCCACAGCCCTTCATGGTGTATCTATTTGGACTGACTGCTCATTTCATAGAGAGGGGTGGGTCTTGCCCCAGCTCATCTGGCATGTCTAAAGCAACTGTGGGGTCAGAATCTGCAGCTCCCAGCCCCCAGCCCCGCAACACTAGGGGAAGCTGGACCCCACATCTCTGAGGTCCCACGGGGCTGCTGTGAGCGGGCTCCCGAGTCCAGAGCTGCTCTGCAGGCTGTGGGGCTCACGCTCCAGCTCCAGGCTCACCTGATGTGCTCAGGCTGCTCACCTCTGGGCCTGTCCTGCCTCTCAGGTATTCGGCTGACCCCGAGGGCCTCTCCCTCATCTTGACCACCAGCTGCGGGCTCTGACTTAGGTTCCCAGAACCTTAGACCATTTGGCTCAACCCCCCATTTCTCAGTTGGGCAAACTGGGACCCAAGAGGGGAAGCAACTTTCTCACGGACCCCCAGCAAGTCAGAGGCAGAATCAGGTCTAGGAGCCTCTTTCCAACAGAGGTCCTCCCTGACGCCTGAGCCTTCGCTGGTGTCTCATTAACTTCCCCATAAGGAGATCGCCCTGCGGAGGCTGGAAATGGTGCTATCCGGGGCGGTGTGTGCCCATGACTGTGCCTGTGTTTGTACTTGTGAGTGTGTAGGGGGCGGGGATGGGGGGGTGGGGATGAGGGGTGGGAATAAACAGCAGCATGCTAGGAGCTGGAATGCACTCCAGCTTACCCCCCCAAAAAGGCTCGGGGGAGCCCTGCCCAGCACAGCACATGCTTAGGCTTTCCAATCTGCTGAACGCCTGTGTGGCTGGCCGGGCTAAAAAGACAAAGGACAGGCCTTTCCCCCACAGATGGCAAACATGGTCCAGGATGGGTGGAAGCTTCTGCAGCAGCTTTGGGGGTCATATTCCAGCCCATGGGCTGACAATTAAGCAGAGAAGCCACCTCTAGGGGTCAGTCATGATCCAGTGATTCTGATGAGGCCAGGTGAAACCCTATCTCTAACAAAAATACAAAAAAGTTAGCCAGGAGTGGTGGCAGGTGCCTGTAATCTCAGCTACTTGGGAGGCTGAGGCAGGAGAATCGCTTGAACCCGGGAGGCGGAGGTTGCAGTGAGCCGAGATCACACCACTGCACTCCAGCCTGGGCAACAAGAGGGAGACTCCGTCTGAACACAAGGAAAAGACGCTGGAGGGTGGGGGAGTCTGCTGCTGATGTGTGTCTGTATCCCTGGCTTTATGGGGTGCATACCTCCCCAGTATTCCCAGGACAGGAGCTTGCAAGTGCCATAAAACTTGGAGGCCACTGCAAAACTGTAGAAGTCAGGCTAGCAAAGGTGATAGGATGGAATAGGTTTTTATAAATGTTTGATGAGTATTTCTATAACAAAGAAAAAGAAGAGCTGTCTAATTATCTACTGAGAATATCTTGGTGCAAAACGGGAACAAGGATGTGCAAGGCAAGTTCACGATAGAACAGTCTGAATGATGGGTCTTTGTCATAGGGAGAGGGCACAGGGCAGTGCTTAATGATGGCCTCTGGAGCCAGGCAATCCGGATTGGTATTTCTGCTGCCATTACTTACCTTTCTTATGACCTTAGGGAAAGGACAGAATATTCTACAGTATGGTATTTGCACAATTGATTATCCATATGCAAAGTAAATACAACTAGATCGTTCACATCATATCAAAAATAAAAGCCAGTTGATTAAATAAAAGGCAAAAGTTTGAAAGTGGGCTGGATGCAGTGGCGCACACCTGTAATCCCAGCACTTTGGGAGGCCGACGTGGGCGGATCATGAGGTCAGGAGTTGAGAACACCCTGGCCAATATGGTGAAACCCCACCTCTACTAAAAATACAAAAATTAGCCAGCTCTGGTGGCGTGTGCCTGTAGTCCCAGCTACTTGGGCGGGTGAGGCGGGAGAATCTCTTGAACCCGGGAATGGAGGTTGCAGTGAGCCAAGATCGTGCCACTGCACTGCAGCCTGGGTGACAGAGTGAGACTCAAAACAAACAAATAAACAATCTTTGAAAGCATTTAGAGGAAACATAGGCGGATATCATTATGATTGGGGCAGTGTCTTTGTTTGGGCTGCTCTAACATAATGCCATAGACTGGGTGGCTTAAACAACAAACACTGATTTCTCCCAGTTCTGGAGGCTAGATGGCCAAGATCAGGGTGTCAGCATGGTCGCATCTTGGGGAGGGCCCATCTCCTGGTTCACAGAGGACCATCTTCTTGCATTGTCACATGGCAGACAGCAAGAAAGACAAGAAGCAACTCTCTTATATCCCCCACCTTTTGTTTTTTTCCAAGGTCGAATCTCACTCTGCTGCCCAGGTTGGAGTGCAGTGGTGTGAACTGGGCTCACTACAACCTCCGCCTCCCGGGTTCAAGCAGTTCTCCTTCCTCAGCCTCTTGAGTAGCTGGGATTACAGGCACCTGCCACCACGCCCAGCTAATTTTTGTATTTTAGTAGAGATGGGGTTTCACCGTGTTGGCCAGGTTGGTCTGGAATTCCTGATCTCGTGATCTACCTGCCTCAGCCTCCCAAAGTGCTGGAATCACAGGCGTGAGCCACCTCTCCCAGCCTGATCTTTTTATTTTAAAATTTTAAGTTCCTGGATAGAAGCATAGAACGTGTAGCTTTGTTACATGGGGGATATGTGTGCCATGGTGGTTTGCTGCACTATCAACCCTTCATCTAGGTTTTAAGTCCCGCATGCATTAGCTGTTTGTCCTAATGATTTTTTAAAAATTCTCTGAATACTGGCAGTTGGCTCAAGCCCACCAGATTTAGGTACTGAATGAGGCTGGGGGCAAGCTTGTACCTTTATTTTTAAATGTATTAATTTCATTTTTTAAAGAGATATGGTCTTGTTCTATCACCAAGGCTGGAGTGCAAGTGACATGATCATAGCTCACTGCAGACTTGCACTGCTGGGCTCAAGTGAGCCTCCCGCTTCAGCTTCCAAAGCATTGGGATTACAGGTGGGAGCCACTGTTCCCGGCGCTAGGCCTGTCCCTTTCATCCTGTGGAGTGTGGACATCAGCCACTCACTCCCAGGTGCTGGGATGGGGTTTAATCTCCAGTGACTGGCCCAGAGCCTGCCCACGGGTAGATCTCAAGGAAGGCATGTTGAAGGAACAGCATGCAACGTGCCCGCCTGCACACATTCACAGATGGGGGTGGGAGTTGGAGGAGGTGGGGGGTTGTGTGGATCAGCTTCAGGCACAGCTGACTGGTTTCCTATGGGATGTGACCATGTAATGGTCAGGTAAGAAGATGACTGAGTTTGGCCGGGTGCGGTGGCTCAAGCCTGTAATCCCAGCACTTTGGGAGGCCGAGACGGGTGGATCACGAGGTCAAGAGATCGAGACCATCCTGGTCAACATGGTGAAACCCTGTCTCTACTAAAAATACAAAAATTAGCTGGGCATGATGGCGCATGCCTGTAGTCCCAGCTACTCGGGAGACTGAGGCAGGAGAATTGCTTGAACCCAGGAAACGGAGGTTGCGGTGAGCCGAGATCGCGCCATTGCACTCCAGCCTGGGTAACAAGAGCGAAATTTCGTCTCAAAAAAAAAAAAAAAAAAAAAAAAAAAATTAAAAAATTACTGAGTTTATCTTCTTGGAATCATTGCTTCGTAATTGTTGCTTCCTACCATCGGCATTGGAGAAAGGCTGGGCCATAGGAGGCTGGATGAACTCTGTGCTGGCTCGGTAAGCAGAATGTCTATCCAGCTGGAACGGAAGCAGTGAAGGTGTGCTCACCTGAGCATGGAGGGGGTCACGAACCTCGCTGGCCTGCCCCAGCTCTGCCTTTGCCCCTTTGTTTGGCCCTGTGGCCACAAAGCTGCCCTACCAGAAGCAGTCCCCACTGGCAGCTCTGGCCCTGGGGATTTGTGAATGGTGGGGGCAGAGTGTGGAGAGGCCAAGTTCACACTGTATCTAACCCTAGTGCAGCTCAGGATTCTGCTTCCCCCAGCCTCTTATCCTCAGGGTCTCAGCTCGGGCCCTCAGGACAGCAGGAAGATGGGCTCTCCTCACCCCCTGGGTCCCCTGTCCTTTACCCCCAACTTCAGACGCAGCTTCACCTAATCCAGCCATAAGGAGAAAAGAAGGCAAATCACTCAGGGACGCAGGCACCTGGGCCCCCACTCTGCCCAGACAAGGCACCCTGTGCGTCTCCCACGGCTAACCACATCTGCCTGGGACTCGAGGAAAGGGCCTGAGGGCCGAAGGTGACACCGGAGTCTCCAGCACCACCTTCCAGGGCCTTCAGGGAATTTCTCGTGCTGTGGGGGCAGAAGACTGGCTCCCCTGGGGATGTGTGTGGGTGTGTGCTCCCCAGCGCCCCGCGGAGGTCAGGGTCCTCTCCATTCAGGACAGCAAGGAGAGAATGGCTTGGAGTGAGGCCCTAGGGTTGGGGGCTAAAGCAGCATAGGTATGGGAAATGGGGTGCCGGGGTGCTTAGAGGGGACCGGTAGGGAACACTTGGAGCCTTGCACGTGCCTAGGGTAGCTGCGGTTGGGAGGCAGCAGGGAGCCTCTCCCGCCGGATGGGGTTTTCCGACGCCGCGAGCCCCGCGGGTTCCTTGGTCTAGGGTAGCCTCTTACAGCTGCGGTGGTGGTGGGGGTCAAGTGAGCAGGGCGTAGTGCGGCGGCCGTGGCACGGTGGGAGCCTCGTGTTCACCGGCTCTACCCGCGGGACTAGACCCCTGCAGCTACCGAGCCAGCAGGGCCAGGACGTGCCTCGAGAATCGGGGTGCTCCCCTGGGCCCAGGGTGTTTGAGGGCGCCACGCCTTCCAGCGTCTGAGCTCCAGCCCCATCAGTGAGACCAGCCCGGCGCACCTCCGAGGCATCTTCCTGTTCAGTCTCTTCGCGCTGTGCCACGTCGCCATGGCGACCCAGGAGCGGGTGAGGCTAAGCGAGCGGTAGGGGGCGCCTGTCCCGCAGGCTCAAGTCAGTGCGCTTGCGCCAAGGAGAGAGGTCAGTGCGCATGCGCCAAGGGGAGGTGGCCCTGCGCGCTTGCCGTACGCCGCTTCCGGGACGCGCTTGCGGCGACTACGCCACTTCCGGGACGCGCCTACGGCGACTTCGCCGCCGAAGCTTTGTGCGTCGGTTCGCGACTTCGCTGACGAAGCTGGGGCGACTCCGCGGGACGGCAGCGCACTGCAGCAGCCCCGCGTAAGCTGGGGAGCTCGGGCTGCCTGACTCGCAGGCGGCGGCATCCTGGGGTCTCCCGCGGCGCTGCAGGCACCCGGACGCGTGGGGGGCGGCCGGAGGTTGCGGCCCCAGTGCCCCAGAGCGCTGCCTTGGGTACTCGGCGGAGCTGCGGGGAGGTTGTTGCTGGGGTCTAGGGGAGCAGCCCAGCGGCCCCACTCCTCTCTTACGGGCCACTTCCTGCTCCCACGACCGGTGGAGGGAGCGTGCAGCGGGTACTAGGCGGCGGCTCCCGCATCCCTGGGTTGGGTGGGGGAACCTGGCAGCGAATGGCCAGCTGGTGCCGGCTAGAGGCTCTGTCTGGGGGCTAGGGGGAACTTGTCCTGCCGCCAGGCTGGGTGGGCCGCTGGTGGCTGGTGCGTTCCTCCATCCTCCCTTGGCGCTGGCATCGAGTCCCGGTGCTGGGCGGCAGCTGGGTTGTCACCTCTGGGTTCGCTGTCCCTGGAGAACCTGAGCCTGGATATTTGCCCCCTTCCCTTTTCTTTTGTAATAAGGCCCAGAGAGAAAAACTTCTCAATTAGAAGACCCCACACCCCGTTGTCCCTGGGCTGCAGGCACGGGGTTCGGGGCACGGGGCGAGGGGAGGGTGCGGGGGCGGGGGGCGGGTGGGACCTGCCCCTGAGCCGGGCCCTGCCCCTGGGCCGGGCTCCTTCCACAAGGCACGAACTGCCTGGCAAGGCTGCTGGTGGTAGATATGGCTGCAGACGGTGAAGGAGAACACTGAGGACAGTTCCCCGCCCCTTGGCTGTGCTGAGCCCATCTGGAGTGTTTCTGGTTCTAATCAGAAGTGGAACAGTTTCAGTGCTTCTTAGAGGTTCATGTTAGTGGTGAACTTGGGTGGAGATGGTGACACAGCTTGTTCTCTCCTCTTAGGCCCTTAGTGCATCAAGGATCCTGAGCTGCCAGGGGCCTGGCCACTCCCGCCCTGAGCCCTGTCTTGGCTGAGCTGGTCATCGCTGCGTGCCCCGGGCTGCCGGCCTGCCTGTCATCTGCAGTGCACAGGTATGCATGTGTGCATATATACACACACCACACATGTACCATGTCTACCTCACACACAACACACCCATGCCCCATGCACACCACACACGTCATACCCACCTCACACACTACACATATGCCCACCTCACATACACCACACACAACATACATACCCACCTCACATACACCACACACATACCCCGTACACACCACACACACCACACACCTAACTCATGTACACCACACAAACCCCACATACGTACATACCCTCACACACGTACCCCATGCACACCACACACATATCATACCCACCTCTCACACTACACACATGCTATGCCCACCTCACATACACCACACACACATACCCCATACCCACCACACACAATATACATACCTCACATACACCACACACACACCCCATACACACCACACACACACACCACACACCTAACTCATGTACACCACACACACCCCACATACATACCCCCTCACACACACCCCATACACAACATACAAAACACATGTACCTACCTCACAGACCACATATACACTATGCCCACCTCATACACACCACATACTTAACCCATATACAGCACACACACCACACACATACCATGCCCACCTCATACACACCACACACATAGCCCATACACACCATACACAGCACACATATCATACCCATCTCACACACCACACACTACATATACACCATGCCCACCTCACATACCCCACACACTTAACCCATGTATACCACACATACACCATGCATATACCATGACCACCTCACACACCCCACACATTGAATTTGTATGGATACACCACATATACTACACACATGCTGTAACCAACTCACACACACCATACACATATCATACCCACCTGACACACCAGGAACATATCATAGCCACCTCACACACACCACACACATACCCCATACACACTACACACAGCACGCATATCATACCTACCTCACACACCACATAACGCTTACAAACCATGCCCACCTCACGCACCCCACACATTTAACCCATATGAACCACACACGTCATTCCCACCTCACACACATACCCCGTACATGCCACACACAACACACATACACACCTCATACACCACATATATACCATGCCCACCTCACACACACCACACACTTAACCCATAGACACCACACACAGCACACATACTGTGCCCACCTCACACACACCATACACATATCATACCCACCTCATACACCACACATGTATCATACCCACTTCACACACATATCCCATACACACCACATACATATTATAACCACCTCACACACACCACATATATACCATGCCCACCTCATACACACCATGCACTTAACCCATATACACTACAGATACCACACACATATTATACCCACCTCACACACACACCACACACCACATATACACCATGCCCACCTCCCACACTGCACACATTGAACCCATATATACCACACTCACCACAAACATACCCCATACACACCACATGCGTATAACCCTCACATACACCACGTATATACCATGCCCACTTCACACACACTACGCACTTAACTCATATACACCAGACACCACACACATGTTAAACCCACAATGCAGACACCACACATACCCCTTACCCACCACACACATCATGTCCACCTGACAAACATTACACACATACTTCATATACATCATGTACTCTTTATGGGTACAACACACCACACATATACCCCATATACACCATACACGCCTTATATACACACAGTACATATACCACACTCACCACAGAATACCATACATGTACACCATGTACATTTCATACACACCACACACCCGATATATGCCACACACAGACACTTCATAAATACCACATACATAGCACAGCACATTCCACGTACATATAACATCACCCGTACAACACACCATGTTCCACACAGCTTATTCACACTATACAGATACCACACACACCACACAATATCATACATACATACACTGTACACACCTAATACACACCACATACACCCCATACACACCACATATACTACGTACACCTCATACAACCACATAGTTACACACACCTCATCCATAACACACCACATACACTATACCATGCACATAAAATATACACACACACTCAACCCTTCCACACTATATCATACTCCACACAATATCACATTCACATCACACACACCACATACCACACACCATACACAGTACACTCCACACACTTAACACACCCTCCAGGATGCCCTGCCACCATACACACACACACAGCACACATTCCCTACTCACCACACCACGCACAGTGTATCTCACGCACACACCACACACCCCTGCCACACACATTTGCATGCAAACTACTCGTTTTGCATTCAAACTACTCAAATGAAACTGAATGATTTAGTTTTTCCCAAATTAATACTGCCAGTCTGCGTGCCCCGGCTGTGCTGGCTGGCACATCCCCTGGTCCTGCCCTCCCTTGGGTCAGCACCCCCTCCTGTGTTTCAGATGTCTCTGGCTGTGCCGTGTGGAGTGTTCATGTCTGGATTGCGTGGGAGTCTGGCCCCTCTGCTCCAACGGCTGCTTTCCTGGAGGAAACTGGCCTGTTTGCCACCTCTCCTGATGCCCAGAGCGGTGGCCGGTGCAGGAAGTCCCTCTTCCTTCTCTCAGTGTCTGCACTTCCCCACGGGACATTTTGTCTCAGTTCTGACATCTCCCCAGCTAGAAGAGAGACCCTCAAAGGCGTGCAGGTCTGTTTGATTATAATGCTGGTGAATAATCAATGCGGTTTGGTAAAACACTCTACCAGTACATACATCTTTAATAAAATGTGCACAGCCCCTCTGCTCCCACCTCTGCCCCCTCCCCTCCCCAGAGGACATGGCTGACAAGCCATTGGGGGCTTCCCCCTTTCTGTGTGCCTTTGCGTCCGTGTGTGGGCTGGGGAGTGTGCGTATATTCTCTAGCTATGTTGACGGAGCTGGAACTGGGATCTACATGTGCGCTTGCTGTAGCTCACTTCCCGTTTTCCCTTCTAAACAGGCCTTTAAGATCCCTCACTGTAGTGCATGTTGTCCTGCCTCTAAAAATGCAGCCTGGGTGACAAGAGCAAAACTCCATGTCACAGCAAACATTATTGTGATATTAACATAAATGTGTATATATGTACACGTGTACATAATGTGCGCATATATGCACATGTGTACATATTGTACATGTGCACATATATACATACATATTGTACATATGTATGTAATGTGAACATATATGCATGTATACATGTACATATGTACATAGTGTGTACCTATATGTAATGTGTACCAACTGTATATATGTACATAATGTGCCTATATATGTATGCGTGTACATATTGGACATAATGTACATAATGTGCACATATATGTACACGTGTACATATTGTAATATCACAATAAATGTATAGGTACATAATGTGTACACAACATATAGGCACACAATGTGTATACTATATAATGTGAACAATATGTACATTTATTGGGATATGTATTGTATATATTGTGATTATATGTGATATTGCGATACTACAGTAAACATACATATTGTACACATTATGTACATTTACATGTGACAGTTTAGCTGTGTATTTTGAAAAGTTCTGTGCTCAACAAATGAAAAGCTACTTTTGTTGTTACTTTTGGTCCCCAGGAGAAATGGGAGTCCTTTTCAGAGAGCATGGGAGACACATGAGTCCTTTGCAGTCCTCTTGTCTGCCTCTGAGGGTGAAATGAGAATGTGAAGCACTTTGGGAGGTGGCCAGGCAAACAGCTAGGCTCGGGCTTGATGCAGAGCAGAGCTGCTGTCTTGGTGGTGTAGCCTCAGTCATCATGAGCCATGTCTGAAAGAATTAATCACATTTCATATGCAACCGTGCTCTGTTTGACTGTGCTGTTGTTTTTAATGACAGTATCATTGACAGTGCTTTAACCTGATAGCCCTGCCTAATTGTGTTCTATGTAATAATGCGTGGGCTTGAGGAGGAGGCAGGACTGGGGGAGAAGGGAAAATGGACGTGTGAATTAGGGAAAGGTGTCTCTTCCTTTGGAGCATGGATGGGTTCAAAGCCCTCCTCATGCTACTAAATATTTGGCTGGACACTACCAGTTGTGTGTCTAGACTCTGTGTGTGTGTGTCTCCAGGGCTGAGCAGCACCTCCTTCTTCCTGTGGTAGCATGTTACTCAGAACCTTGGATAACCCCCAGCCCTCCTAAAAACACAATACATGTGTGTTATAAGAAATTTATCTTGATGATTGGTGAGAGGGTGGTGATTGAAACCAGCTCATTTCCCATTTATCACTGAGGCCAGCTCATCTTTGCTGAAGAGGGTTCTTGACTCTTACTTTGTAGCAGGAACTTCTAAGTTAATCAAGCCTATTCAAAAGTTTCAGGCTGAAAGTCAAGATCTCTCAGGTTAGACCTAGTGTTAAAATTTTAACTGGGCAAATTCTCGTTAGAGACAAGGGGCCAAAGACTGAGCCGATGGAATCTAATATGTTTTAATGTTGACTTCAATCCGGTAAAGCCCTTGTTAATCCATTTAACTGTAAAATTGGGCCTTGGGGAGGCAGTGCACCCTCTGAAATTAGAGGTCAAGAGATTTGGATTTGATTTCCAGCCCTCTGCCAGTCAGTCAGCCACTCACTTTCAAGTGACAAGCCTTAGGCGAGTCACTTTCTGTCTCTGTTTCTTGGTTTCTTCACAGGGATTTATGTGGGCCTTAAGGCCCACTGGGAAAAGATCCCTCTTCCAGCTCAGTGCCTGGTTTGTTGAGTATACTTGTCAATCTGGACTTGAATACACCTATGGTTTTGGATTGACTCTATTACCTCTGCTAGAAATTAACACAGAAAATTCACAGTTGATTGACAAGAATGAGAATCAGTTCTAAAGAATTAAAATATAACCGAATCCTTTATTACTAAAAGAATGCTCAACTCAAGTGGACACAGATCACTCATTCTAACTTTATCAGCTATAGCACTTGGAGACAACTTTTTCAAAATACACAGCTAAATGTACATAATGTGCATACAATATGTACATTTATATGTACATATGTATTGTGTACACATGTACATCACAGTAAATGTACATATTGTACGTATCGTATACATTTCTTATATCCCAATAAATGTACACATTATGACTGGGATATTATTTTTAGTATGTTAGATAAAAATTACTGCTAATATCAAAGTGGGTATACACCCATGTGTGTATATTTTGTGATATTATCCATAATATCCTAAGTAGATACTACTCTCTCTGTGAAAGCAAGTATACACTGTGATTGCTCCAATATCACAGGTGGTATACAACGCTTCTGTGATATAGTTCCTAATATCCAGGGGAAAGAGGATGATTATACTCTCAATATTGCAGTAAATGTATACCACCACTGTAATATTGTTTCAAATATCCAAAAATGGAGAGGATATTACTCCAAATACTCAGGAAGTACACAAACCCCCAGTGATACTGTTCCTAATATCTAGGGGATGAGAGTTGATATTACTCACAATGTGGCTGGGGCTGTACACCTGCCCTGTGATATTGTTCCTAATATCTAGGGGATGAGAGTTGATATTACTCACAATGTGGCTGGGGCTGTACACCTGCCCTGTGATATTGTTCCTAATATCTAGGGGATGAGAGATAATATTACTCACAATGTGGCTGGGGCTGTACACCTGCCCTGTGATATTGTTCCTAATATCGAGGGAAGGAGAGGTGATGTTACTGCCCATATGGTAATACTCTCAATATGGCAAGAGGTGTACACCACGCTCTGATATTGTAACTAAGGTCCACAAAAAAAATAATTATACTGAATTAAATATTGCAAGGGGTGAAACTCCCACTCCCCGATTTCAGTTCTAATGTCAAGGTGGGGGCGAGGATATTTTTGTCAATATCACAGAGGTGGAACTAGAACTAGTGTTGTGTGCCTAATATCAAAAAAGAAACACACTAACATTGTCTTCTCCCTATGATATGGTTCCCAATATCATATTACTCCAGATTTTCTAAATAGCCACTGTGGGCATAGCCCCCTAGGCAGAGGGTTCGTAGCAGCTGGGGAGGGGCCATGGTGCTGCTATTCACCCTCTGGCAGGGGCTGTGGGCATAGCCCACATTATGTACATCTGTACATAATGTGCACACATGTACATATTGTACATCTGTACATAGTGTGCACATTATGTACATATGTACTCTGTCTCAGAAACATAAAGAAAACAGCAAGAAGGAAATACGGAGATCTGGGCCTTTGTTTCCAGAATAGACGGACCTGGGTTGGGCACAAAGTCTTAGAGCATTAGGAGACAGGCCACAGATCCCTCATCGACGATTATTGGAAGAGCAAAAGCCAGTTACTCAGCTGCAGGACTTTTCTAGGTCTGGGCTCCCCGCTGTGCCATGCAGTGTCTCTTCTGGGTGGGGAAGGTGAGTCATAGCGCTTGGACAGACTCACTGACTGGGGGTAACAGGTGTGAGGACCGAACAGCCCTCTAGCAGCCTGCAAGGGTGAACTGTCTCAGTACCCCCCCACCCCCCATGCCCATCTACAACAGGATCTGGCACTCTGATAGCTTCCAGGGGTGCTCTGTCTCAGCCCCCCTCCCCATGCCCACCTCAAAGAGAATTTGGCTCTATCTGCCCTGCTCCTCTGGGTTCGCAGGAGTCTCTTAGGCAAATTAGATAGGAAAATGCCAAATCATGGCCAGAGAAGGTTGTCCCCTAGCCCCATGTACCCCTGTGCCCTGCCTCCCACCAAGCTTCCTGTGCTCCTAAAAGATGCTCTGTGCATTCATAATGCTGGCCATGACCTCACTGCTCCCCTTGCCTCCCCAACTCCCCATGTGAATGAATGTTACCACCTTTGATCTTCAAGCCAGCCTCAGATGTCACCTCTGCAGCTTTGAGTCCATTTGGAACCAACCTTCCCCTGAGCCGAGCATTTGAAATGTTCCAGAATTTTCTTTTGCCTCCTTCAGAGGAGTCTGCCACCCTCAGTATGCAGCCTGTCTTGCTCATCTATTTGCTAAACTTCGACTAAAAATAAATTTTAAAATGATTAGATGTTGGGGTTAAAGAGGCAGAACTAAAATTCTAGACAACAATAACATGGAAGGTAGGAGAAGATAATCCAGAGCTAAAACATTCCTATTTATTTATTTATTTATTTCACATGGAATCTCACTCTGTTGCCCAGGCTGGAGTGTGGTGGTGCCATCTCGGCTCACTGCAACTTCCTCCTCCCAGGTTCAAGCGATTCTCCTGTCTCAGCCTCCTGAGTAGCTGGGATTACAAGCACAAGCCACCACGCCCATCTAATTTTTTGTGTTTTAAAGTAGAGATGGGGTTTCACCATGTTGATCAGGCTGATCTTGAACTCCTGACCTCAAATGATCCACCTGTCTCAGCCTCCCAAAGTGCTGAGATTACAGCTGAGCCACTGCACCTGACTGCAGAGCTAAAACATTTTAATATCCTGATATATTTGTCATCCTTGCAGGTTAAAATTTTTAGATTATTTTTAAATTTGTGTTATTTATTTTTGCATTTATTTAGAGACAAGGTCTTGCTCTGTTGTCCAGGCTGTAGTGCAGTGGTGAGATCTTGGCTCACTGCAGCCTGTATGGCTCAAGAGATCCTCCTGCCTCAGCCTCCTGAGTAGCTGGGGACTACAGGTGTGCACCACCACCCTCAGCTAATTTTAGTATTTTTTGGGTAGAGATAGGGTTTTGTCATGTTGCCCAGACTGGTCTTGAACGCCTGTGCTCAAACCATCCACCCACCTCATCCTCCCAAAGTGCTGGGTTTACAGGTGTGAGCCACCACACCCATTGTAAAATTTAAGAAAAGAAAAGAGAAGTCTGTAATTTCCTAAATGGCTATGGGAAAATAGAGGGAATAAAGAAAACATGATACTCTCCCTTTTCCAAAAAAGGACCAGCAAACAAAAAGCACAGGTAGAAATACACAAATAGTAAAAATACATTTCAGTATATTGGCAGTCAAAGGGAGTGTAAGGATCTATGAAATAGAAAACCATATAGAAGTCAAACTAATCAGATCTATAGGCATCAACACAAACAATGTCAGAAACATTGTACTGAGTTTATAAAGTAAGATAACAAAAAAATTGTATGGGACTAGTTTGTAAATGTAAAGAAATGACGAAACAATGTTACATATTTATAGATACATATATATGTAGCAAAATTATAGATGGGAGAATACACACCGACTTAACAATAGTGTATCTCTGGAGAAGATGAGAGGGGTGAAATGGGAGAGAGACATGAGAGTAATTTTCTTTTTTTTCAGGCAGGGTCTCACATGATCACCCCACTGGAGTGCAGTGGCACAAGCTCCGCTCACTGCAACCACCACATCCCAGGTTCAAGTGATTCTCATACCTCAGCCTCCTGAGTAACTGAGATTACAGGTGTGTGCCACCAGTCCTGGCTAATTTGTGTGTGTGTGTGTGTGTGTGTGTGTGTGTGATTTTTTTTTTTTTTTTTTTTTTTTAGTGGTGACAAGGTTTCACCATGTTGGCCAGGCTGGTCTCCAGCTCCTGGCCTCAGGTGCGTTGTCTGCCTTGGCCTGCCTAAGTGCTGAGACTACAGGCACGAGCCACTGCACCTGACCTATGAGACTGATCTTAACTATATCTACAATATTGTCCTTAAGAAACAAAAATAACAGCTCTGGAACAACACATCACTAAAAGTTAATGTGTTACATCTGGGTTGACCACAAATGAGTGTCTGTTATATTTATTTCTGGATTTTTCTGTGCATTTAAAGTATTTAATAATTAAATCTCTGTATTTTCTATTTCTTAACTACATTTTTCTAAGGACATAGAGATGATGCAGTCCTGCTCTCACAGCTGCTGGTGAGGTGAGATGCTGGTGATTCTGTGCACCTCGGGTCCCTGTCAGTTTCGTTCTCTGCCCTGCTTCACCGAGGCCAGTGGACTACACTGTCCAGGCTTTCTTCCCAGCCAGCTTTCAGGTTCGGCCAATGGGAGGTTATGTGGGGAGATGGGAGTGTGGGATTCAATGGCCGTCAGCGTAGCTCTTCCCAGCTCTCTTCCTGCTTTGCCATGTTGTATCCAGCTGTAGCTGCATCCTAGGTACAGCTGTTACTCATTGGGCTCTGATAAGTGTTTCCTTCCTTCGTCTCAATGGGCCCTGGAAACGGGGAGAGTGCTAAGAGCTTTTGTCCATTGCTAGTCTCTAGATGTCCTACCATCCCTTGTTTGTTACCTTATCTGGGCCAGAAACTGTGAATAGTCCCTTCATTAAAGCCTTTTCATTTTAATCATCTGGGATGAAACAAGAAACACTGTGAAAAGTAAAAATTGATTTTGTTTGTTTGTTTCAGAACTCCTTTGCTGTGGATAAGAAGATTGGCTAGGTCACTTGCTCCAAGTTCAAAGCCTGTTTTCATAAAACAATAACGACTTGCTTGTTTTTTGTTTTTTGAGACAGGGTCTTGCCTTTTTAGCTCAGGTTGGAGTGCAGTGGCACAATCATGGCTCACTGCAGCCTTGACCTCCTGGGCTCAGATGATTTTTCCACCTTAGCCCCCTGAGTAGCTGGGACCACAGGTGTGCGCCACCATTCCCAGTTAGTATTTAAAAATTTTTGTAGAGATGGGATCTCCCTATATTGCCCAGCCTGGTCTTGAACTCCTGAGCTCAAGGAATCTTCCTTCCTTGGTCTTCCAAAGGGCTGAGCTTATAAGTGTGAGCCACTGTGTCTCGTAATAACTTAACTCAAGAGCATATGGTGGACAACATCTTGATAAAAGGGATATGGCTGGCCAGGCATGGTGGCTCACACCTGTAATCCCCGCTCTTTGGGAGGCTGAGGCCAGTGGATCACCTGAAGTCAGGATGTTGGAAATAAGAGCTTGGAGTAACAAAGAAAACCAGTATTTGAACAAAAGATTTCTCAGCAAGGCAAATTTACTTCTGTAGAAGGGTGTCTTTTTTTTCTACCCTAATGCAGTTGGCCCCTGCTACTGTGTCCGGTTCCCATTGGCTGGAGTCAGTCTGTACATTCTAAGCTGATCCTGATTGGCTACTTCAAATGGAGCAAGGGTGGAGGCTGCAGCGGCAGGAAGAGAGTTTTGCTACTAAGAGTGCCAAAGAAGGAACAGATGTGAGTTACAAATTGGGAATGGCTGGAAGCTTGCTCACGGTAACTAGGGGCGAGGAGACAAGGAAGTTAGGCTTTGAAAATAAAGGAGAAAGAATGAAGGAGTTGAACAAGTGGAACCTTTGAAGAGAAACTCACTGTATCCAATAAAGAGTTCAAGACCAGCCTGGCCAACATGGCAAAACCCTTGTCTCTACTAAAAATTAAAAAAAAAAATTAGTTTTAGTGGCAGGCACCTGTAGTCCCAGCTACATGGGTGATTGAGGCAGGAGAATCGCTTGAACCCTGGAGGTGGAGGTTGTGGTGAGCTGAGATTGTGCCACTGCACTCCACCCTGGGTGACAGAGTGAGACTCTGTCTCAAAAAAACAAAAAAGGGATATGGCTGATACACACAAAACAATCTACTCTCCTAAGACTTTGTGCCTCAAGAATCTTAGGACTTCTTGGATGATATCAATTGTGTTTTATGATTTATTTATTCATTTACTCAGTAAGTTTTGATGTAGTGCTGCTCTGTACCAAGAACTGTGTGAAGAAATGGGGATATATTGTTGTGTCAGAGAAGTCCCCGTGTGCCAGGAGCTCACGGTAGACTGGAAGATGTGCAAACCTTTTATGAAGAAATACGGTAAATGTGAGGGGAATGGTAGCAGAGGGTGCTCTGGAGCAGCCAGGAGGGTGGTTCAGCCCAGCCCTGTACTGTCAGGGATAGTTTCCCAAAAGAAAAGATATCTCACTTGAGAGCTGAAGAATAAATACTAGTTAGCTAAGTTAAGGAGGATGGGTAGATGGGAGGGAGTGAGTTTTAGTTTTAAGGCATTCTAGGTAGAGAGAAACAATTTGGGCAAATCCAGAAGGATAAAAATCATTTGGGAAACTGAAAGTCAGTCTCTTGAGTTGATTGTATGGGGAGAGGGTAAGATAAGTTAAGAGAAGAAAAACAGGGATCAGATCACAAAAAGCCTTGTAAGTAAGGTTAAGGGTAGGGATATTATTATGAGGTCAGTAAAAAGCCATTAAATGTTTTGAGTAGGTGGTGTGCAGTGTAATTGCATTTGCATTTTTAGTAGATTGCTTTGTCTATATGGTGAGAATAAACTGGAGGTGAATCAGAGCAGAGGTGGCTCCCTTAGGAGGCTGTAGCTGTAGCCCAGGCCAGAGATGATGAGTTAGATTTGAGATTGGGGCTGGAGAGAAGCGGCCAGAGAGGAACCTATGGCTAAAGCAGGCGTCCTGAAAACATTCAGGAAATTACTGTCATTATAGAACACCTCGGCAAAATGCAAATTGTTCTGTCCTTATTTGATCTCAGCTGACCGTGAACTCTGGGTGACAGGGATTCATCCCCATTTTCAGTACTACCAAAGTGTGCAGGAAATGAATGTTCCTAAGTGAGTCTCAGTGACATGGTGATTTGGTAGCGTGGTAACCCTCATGACTCTGCAGACCCAGCTTTATTAGGGAAGTCCAGTAGTGATTGTGAAGTCGGTGTGTAGAGCGACTGCAGCGGGGACATTAAAGTGCAGAAGCTTTATCCAGTTCACAGTGAACACTGAAGTATGTACGCCAGTTTTTTCTGACTCAGTTCTCTTCTGCCGTCTGCTTGGACAAGACTTTCATAGCTTAGCAAAGGAGGCTCATCAACGAAGCCACAGTGGGCAGTACCTTGGATAAGTCTGAAACTTAGTCGGAGAAACAAGTGTCATATCTATACTACTGTTCAGTTGAAGCTAATCTTCAGTATTTCCCAAAGACAGAATGTCTGTGTTTTTTTTTGTTTTTTTGTTTTTTTGTTTTTTTTTTTTTTGAGATAAGGTCTCATTCTGCCCCCCCAGGCTCTGGGCTGGAGTGCAGTGGCACAAACACAGTTCGGTGTAGCCTTGGGGCTCAAGAGATTCTCCCACCTCAGCCCCCTAAAGTGCAGAGATTACAGCCGTGAACCACCACGCCTGTCCCGTGCAGACTATCTTAAATATCTGTATTCTCCTGTTAACCTGATGGTAGCCATAGATTATAACAATTTTTAAACAAGAAAACAGAAACAGATTTAAATAAGCCCACTCTGAACAATAAAAGTAAGTGGCCGAGTAAGGACTGAAGTTGCCTCGACTCTTAGTTCCACACTTTTCTCACAACATCTCAACATCTCAAACACACCAGAAAAGAGTTCCAACAGGCCGAGACAGGCCGCTGATCTGCAGCAGGGTCAGGGTGTGCCTAGTGTGAAGGCTGCCAAGGCCGGTGGCTCCCTGATGCTCAGCAGAGATGTAGAATGTTGGCATGGGGTGACGTGAGGGAGAGCAGCAGAAACGACTCCACATTCCGTGTTCCACAAAGAGATGTCAAGGGTATGTTTCCGAGGGAAATTTTTTTTTTTTTTTTCAAGTATATGAAAACTAATAGAACTCAAACTTTCGGTGGATGTTGTCAGTCAAAATAGACCTTATTATTTTTGGTAATGAGTGTGGTTAACACTAAGAAACTATTGCGCCATCCTTTTCCCTTTTTTTTTCTTTTTGGAGACACGGTCTCACTCTGTTACCCAGGCTGGAGTGCAGTGATGAGATCACAGAATCACAGCTCACTGCAGCCTTGCACTTATGGGCTCAAGCAACCTTCCTGCCTCAGCCTCCTGAGTAGCTGGGACTACAGGCATGTGCCTGTAATAATCCACATCTGGCTGATTATTTTTATTTTTGTAGAGACGAGGTCTCCCTATGTTGCCCAAGGAATCCTCCTACCTTGGTCTCCCAAAGCACTGCGATTACAGGTGTGAGCCACCGCACCTAGCCAACTTCTCTTATTGAAACTGAAGTTACATGAACACCCAAATACAGTCTTGCTGTTAAAAAATCCGAACATTCAGGTAATGCTAAACTTTTCCTTTACTGCAAATTCCAAGCCTTTCCCCAAAGGCAACCACAGTCAAGAAGAGTATGCTTCCAGATCTTCTAGGAAATATGCATGTTCCTATGGGAGCACAGTCTTGTTTAGTGTTTCATCTCTAAACAAGGAATGGGATCTTGATGTATTGTCCTGCCTTTCCAACTGAGTGGCCCACACTCCCCTGACTTAGTGGGAGGTGCACTTTGACTTGTCCAGGGCGGCTCCTGGGAAGCTCCCCATTATGCCCTGAGAGCAGACATCCTCAGTGCCCTCCTGCTCCCATATCATGCCCCCCAGCTGCGAGCACCCTGCAGCTCTTCACCCAGCCTCCTTATAGCTCCCCTCCTATTTTTTTTTCATTGTGGCAGGATAAATATAAAATATGCCATTTTAACCATTGGAAAACATACAGTTGAGTAGCATTAAGTACACTGACATTGTCTTGCTGCTCTTACCATCATTCATCTCTGGAACGTTTTCATCTTCCTCACTGGAAACTGCATTCCTGTTAAACAACAATAACTCCCTGTTCCCCTCCCCAGGCCTCTGGAAACCAACCACCTTCTATTTTCTGTCTTACGAATTGGACTACTATAGGTACTTCAAGTAAGTGAAATCACACAGTATTTGTTCTTTTGTGACTGGCTTATTTTACTTAGCATCCTATCTTGAAGGTTCATCCATGTGGTAGCCTGGGCCAGAATTTCTTTCTTTCTTAAGTTGAATAAGATTCCATTGTATGCATGTTCCGCGTTTGGTTTATCCGTTCTTCTGTTGATGGACACTTAGCTTGCTTCCACCCTGTGGGGTACTGTGAGTAAGGCCGCTGTGAACATAGGTGTGCAAGTATCTCTGAGTTCCTTCTTTCCATTCTTTGAGATGTAAGTGCTGCAGCAGCTTTCCAAGTACATCTCAGGTGGTGGTTGTCTTCTTCATTTGAATGCCCCTTGCATTTTGTCTACTTCCCACACTTACCTACTGATACGGTTTGGAATTAGGTTGCTGCACAAATCTCATGTCACATTGTAACCCCCAGTGTTGGAGATGGGGCCTGGGGGGAGGCGATTGGATCATGGGAGTGGGTTATATCCAGTTGTATCACTCCTCTGGGTATATCACCATTTCTGTTCCTCAGTTGTTACCAGTTTAACCTTTCTCATTCCATTCATTATTGCTGTTATCACTTCTCTCTCCATTTAGTATCATAAATGGTTTAGCACCATCTTTTTGATGCGGTGTTCGTGATAGAGTTCTCATGATATCTGTAGTTTAAAAGTATGTAGCACCTCCCCAACCCCATCTCTGTTCTTCCTCCTCTGGCTGTTTGAAGTGCCTTGTGCACACCCCGCCCCTCCACCACCCGCCCTCACCTTCCACCATGATTGGAAGCTTCCCAAAGCCTTCACAGAAGCAGAAGCCACTATGCTTCCTGTACAGTCTGCAGAATTGTGAGACA